GCTAATGGTTGCCTCTATCTTCCTTCCCCATTCCGAGCGCACCAAAGACCCTCCCGCCCCACCCTTAAAAAAATGAAGTTCGAGAGCGAAACCCCTCTCCATTTAATTTATTTTTCTCTTTCTAAGAGGCGAAGGCACATGAAAGTAAGCGGAATACCAATGCAACAGATAGGGTTTGTGCTCGCAGTTCAGTCTTGTATCTTAGTTGCAGCCGTAGGAGAAAGATTTTGGGCATAATGCTAATTTTGCATTTTGTGACTCTCACACACACAGTGAAAGGGAAACAAAGATACTATTTTTGTACTTTGATAGCTTAAGAATAAATTCGAACATGAGTGCCTTACACACACACACACACACACACATGCAACTTGTACACACATATGTATTGCCATAATTTTTTAAGTTTTTTTAAAGGATTATAAAACAGCATAATTCTGCAAACCGTTTCTGACTTTAGGACTGCTAATATTGCTCGTGTCATTTTCTCTTGTAATCTTTGCCTCATTGTTTCTGCTTGAACAAACATTTTCTTGTTTCTTTCTCATTTCGGGTGATAATTGATAACGAGTTGGTGATAATTGGTAACCAGTTGTATGTCACAAACTGTTTTTAAAAAATATTCACTGGAAGGAAGACCTACACATTGTTGCTGGAGAGAAAAAGGAGGTGCTTGGTCTTGAAGTAATGTTTCCGTCTCAGACGACGGCTAACCACTTCGTGTATTTTAGTAGGTAAATCATGAACAGATTTTTTGAACACAATTTTGAAATTGAGCTAAATGGCGCACTTCTAGCGAAAAAGCATTCCACGAGCAGCTGTCGGTTGGGGAAATAACGAACAAATGTTTTGAGCCCGGTAGCCAGATGGTCAAATGTGATCCGCGCAATGGCAAATACATGGCATGCTGCTTGCTGTATCGTGGAGATGTAGTACCAAAGGTTTTAATTCAATTAAATTTTTTTTTTGTATTTGTCAAAGCAACTCGAAACCCATCAAAATGCAATATACATTACCATCACAACCATATAATTTAAAAAAAAAAAAACAACAACATAAATTACCACAGCTGCAATAAACATTACCACTAAAGTTCTGTGAGGTTTTAGTCCGTAACGCACCTCCGTATGACCGAAGAGCTGCAAAGTTCGGAAAGATGTGGTGATGTTCAGTGCATATCATTGTCATCTCAAAATGATTAAATCTTTACTATGTATTTCTGCTGAGAGTATCGCTCAGCTGGTAATTCCTTCAGGAGACAAAACGAATGTCAGAATCACTGCAACATAGATTTCACCAATTTCAAGAATTGCCAGCTGCAGACTACAGCTGACCGCAGTATCAAAGCAAATAGAATGTAAAGAAAGGGCGGTAGAAGCTCAGCCAAAACTGGTCATGCCGAGCAGGGTTAATAAGAAAGTTCGAGATGTAAAGTGGTGTTTTGCAGCTGTAGGTAAAATAAATATTAGAGATTACCGTGAAAGCTGGCCAAAAAGAGGCATTTGCATGCACCTGAACAATCTAC